AAGACAAATCAAGCTGAGTGTGACGGTTTCAGAAACGGCTAGTAAACAAGGGGCCTCAGAAAGGCAATAAAATGATAGGCCAGCCTGAGTGGCCCACTGCAGGGCTGGAAGGCACAAGGCTGGCCGTGGCTTCAGATCCTGAGTTGGCCTGAAAAGCAAATTAGGCAAATGTGTAGGCACTGACAATCCTGAGGAGCGGGAGGGCTGAGGAAGAGAATCAGAGCGCAGTGAGACATTGAGGGGGGCACTCTCTCTCAGAACACACGCTCATGAACAGAATCACTTTCTTAAAAAGATAAATACATCATCTTAGATCATAAAAAAGCAAACGCGAGTGAAAAAATAAAGGAATGAGACATCGATCAGATGGTCTATTTCTAACAATTATTACAGAAGGGACGTCTTCTCACTGAAAAGACCTTTCCCCTCAATAGCTTAGAAGCCTAAGTTGCTTCTGGTAGATTTTAATTACCTTTTAATTCTCCATTTCTGTTTTGTCCTAGCCACATTTATTTTTGTCTACCAGTGATCTTGCCTTCCTCAGGCCAGCTGGCTTTCTAATTTTTCAGTTTCTAGAAATTTATAAACAGAAGAAAGTCTGATAAAAATAACTTGGTATCATGTGATATGCTGATACATTAAAGAAATCCTGTCACTACTTAACCAAGACCAATTTCCATTCAATATTTCTCTAAAAGAAAATAAAGTTCATATGTAACTTTTAAGAGTTATTTTACTTAATTTTATTTATTATTATTACTTTTTAATTTTACCAGAGAGAGAGAGGAAAAGTGAGAAAGCAAGCCACCAGGTCCAGGACTCAAACCATGGTCAGCCATGTCGGAATCTAGCACCTTTACCACCATACCACCTGCCAGTCCTGTATGTAATATTTTAATGTCATACTGTAGCTTACACTTAAAAAAGTTTCATATACTACGTTTAGAAATGTACATATGACACATTATTATTTTTAAAACCAATAGAAAAATAAGTGATGCTATAAATAACTGCACCTAACAAATTCTGATCTGAAAGGTGATTCATCATTTCAGGTAGTTTAAGGAAGGAAAATCAACTAAGGGTTGTAAAATGGGAAAAAAAAAAAAAAAGTAGGAAAATGTGATAAAGTTCTATGGCTTCCTTAGAAAATTATTTTTCAAGGGAAATACAACACTTCTAACTGCTGAATAACTGTCATAGAGACCATGCAGATTATCACATGATCACAAATAGCTACTAAGAAAATCGAAAAGCAGTTCTTTAAGACAGAAAAATTAGGGACCAGCAGATGGTGAAATGGCTAAGTCGCTAGACTCCCATGTAGTTGACCACAGTTCGAGTACCAGACCCGGAGGCTTAAAACTCACATCAGAGGCATGTGTGAGCATGCCCAAGATCCCAAGAAGAGAATGGAGGAGGGACTAGGGTATGGCCATGCCCCCTGAGAGGTGATTTCTCACTTTCTGTCTCTCTTTCTGTTTCTTCAGTGAATACATGCACTCTATAGCAAAAATATCTCTCCCAAAAAAAGACAGAAAAATTACACAATATTTTTATAAATGAAAGTTAGACAAAAGGTTTCAAGAATTCTTACTTAAAATTCACTTGAAATTAATTCGGTGGTTCTGACTTCCTTATGTAATTATAGGTTGGTGTTATCTGTAAAAACCAAATACAGTATTAAGTATTAGCACATAACCAACAATTTAGAGTTCTATATTGAAAGAAGATAGCTTTCTTGGTGGCAAAATGACTAGGGAAGGAAAACTAAAATTACACAGCATTCAAAGGCGGCCCCTTCACTTATATCAACAATCAACAAGAAAAAAGGTGAAGTTACAGAATAAAACAAATGAATCATCATAATAAAGACACAAGATCTTTCAAAATGTAACACAAGAGAAGAAAGTAGCTTCTCTAATAAAGTTTAAAACACTGTTAGTCGGGAACCAGCAGTTAGCGTAATGGCTATGTTGCTGGGTTCCCACATAGTCGACCGCGGTTCATGTCCCGGACCCGGTGGCTTAAACTCACACCGGGCGCGTGTGCGTGCGTGCCCAAGATCCCGAGAGGAGAATGGAGGACAAGGGATTGCAGCGTGACCATCCCCCCTGGGGGGTGATTTCTCGCTTTCTGTCTCTATGTCTCTGTCTGTCTGGCGAGCACACATGCCCTATAGCAAAAATCTCTCAAAAAAAAAACCCAAAAAACAAAAAACAAAACAAAAAAAACACTGTTAGTTAAAAGGCCAATATTCGTAGGAAATATGGGCCAGTAAGTTAACATGAAAATAACAATTCTGGGGACCAGCAGTTAGCATAAAGGCTATGTCGCTGGATTCCCACGTAGTCAACCGCAGTTCGAGTCCCGGACCTGGTGGCTTAAACTCATGCCAGGCGTATGTGCGTGGGTGCCCAAGATCCAGAGAAGAGAATGGAGGAGAAGGGATTGCGGCGTGGCTGTCCCCTCTGGGGGGTGATTTCTCGCTTTCTGTCTCTATGTCTCTCTCTGTCTGTCTGGCGAGTGCACACGCTCTATAGCAAAAACCTCTCCAAAAAAAGAAAATAAATAAATAATAACAATTCTTGTGATGTCTTCCGATACTTTAATATCCCTCCCTTCAAATGATCAGCCAGACCTGTTGTCTCACTTCTAATGAAAAACAGGGTCTTGCACAATTAGATCATAATCTGTTTCTCTCTTTGCAGGGCATGCGTGTTCCGCTTAAGGTACTTCCTTGGAACCCAATTACTGTTGTGAGGAAGCCCAGGCACATGGAGAGGCCAGGTATGTGTCGGTGTTCCACACAACAATCTTGCCAGACCCCAACTGATACCAGCATCATCTGCTAATCAGGAGGGAAGACCCCTGCAGATGCTTCTAGCGCCTGAGTCTGCTAGCTTACGCCTCAGACATTGTGGAACGAAGATGAGCCTTCCCTACTCCCCTGTCTCTGAATTCCTGACCCATAGAAATTGCCTGTGATAATAAGAGATTACTATTGTGGGCTGGCCCAGTAGTCTAGTGGCAAAGGGAGTCAGATCCCACATGACTTGAATTCATGATTTGAATCCCATCCCCAGCAGCTTGAAAAACATGCCAAATGCATGTGTGTGCATACCTAGAGTCCAAACAGGATGAAAAAATGGAGGAGAAATGACATGAGTGCACCACCTTGTGGGGTGCTTTCTCTCGTTCTCCAGTGAGCATGTGTGCCCTCTGGCAATAAAAACAAAAAAATTAAAAAGAAAGATTGTTGCTTAAAGCTACAGTTTTTGGGTATCTTGTTTTGTAACAACAAATTAATATAGTTAGCTAGCATACACATACACACATCAAAGATGGATCTTTTTTCAAACTGGAAAAATAACCTTTATACAAGCTAATCATAGAGTCTATCCTCCATTTAGTAAGCTTGTAAGATTTTGAGTCATTTGATTAAACTTCATTAATTTGAACTTTTCTAACCTGAAATATGAGACAATTTAGACTAAATTTGAGTGTTTTGGCTGAACACAGTCAATAACGCACTTCCGTAAAGGAGTTTAGGTAATCCTGAAATTGTGACTACAAGAATACTAAAGCTAATTAAGAGGAAGAAATTGCTCCAAAGTACTTTAAAAGTATGGCACTCTTCATTTTGAGAGTGCTCAATAGTCATTAGGCATCAAACACACACGAGATACCTCAAGTTCTTCCAACTCATTTTTTATATATTAATTTAAGATCTTGTTGGAGGGTAACGGACAGAGGGTGATGCAATGGTAAAATGCAGCACTCTGAGAGGCTGACCCACATGGGAAGGTCCTGGGTTCAGGTCCAGAGACTTCCCTTTGTATGTTGGGTAAGCATGTATATATGATCTGGGACTGGCTAAAGCTAGGGGTGGTTCATAGCACTGAGACCCTGTTGCAGGTACTGTCTCTCTGTCTCTCTTGCTTGTTCAGGGAAGAAATAAACAAACTTAAAATTTTTTAAATAAAATTTTAAATGGGCCAGCTCTGTGGCACTGTGGTAATGCCCTGCTCAAGAGATTGGATCCCAATGGCAACTGTGATTTAAGTCTCGGCCCCAGTCAGCCTGAAACATGACAAGTACAAGCATGAGTACCCGGAATCCAGTGAGCTGGAAGGCTGGAAAGGGCTCACAGTGTGACTAGACCCTGTGGAGAGTGCTCCTCTCTCTCTCTCTCTCTCTCTCTCTCTCTCTGTCTCTGTCTCTGTCTCATTCTCATGTGCACAGATGCTCTATCATGAATAAAAAGAAAAAGTCCTATTTGGCAAATTGGTCATTTGAATTCAAGGAAATTATTTGTGCATACCTGTGTTTTCTCTTTTCCTAATAAAAGGTGAGCCAGGAGGGCATTTCTGATCTTGCTTAACTCTGTACCCCACAATGGATATAACACAATGTTGTAAGAGGGGTCTTAAAGAAGTTCATGGAAAATGCATACTATGATAAAAAACCTCCAAGGATTTCAAATAAGCTCGTACTTTAATTTCATTTTTCCATGATTTTCTTAAAGTACCCTCAAATGTCAAGTATGGTACTTAACAAATATTAATATGAGTGATCTAACAGCAGTTACGTACTTGAAGCTAACTCAGCTTTCTAATTCACTGTGTATACTAATTTGTTCTGCTCCTCCTTATAATTAGTTCAAGTTAGCTGATGTTTTATTATGTGCCCAAAGACCATATGAGTAGTACCCCTTTATATTTTATGAATTTTTTTGTAGTGAATATAATACAAATGTTTTCCTTCAGCAACTGGCAGTCTGTGGTGCTGGGAGCATGCCTTCACTTCTGAGACTGACATGCCCAGCTGCACAAATGCAGGCCCTACAGCTCCATCCGTGTGTGAGAGAATGGCGCCCCCTGGGCCGTGTGAGTATTGCTTCCGCTCAGGACAGATACCTAATTCCTAAGATTTCCACTCTGTTACAGGCAGAGGCTAATAAATAAAAATTATTTTTAAAAGATCACAAAGGTAGGCCATTTTTCTCGGAAAAGAGTAAGGACATCTCAGTTTATTCCTCTAGTTTAGTCTAAACAGAGACCAAATTCTCTGATAGTGTTACAATGCCTATGTTCAGACTTAAACTTTTTGCTAAATCAAAAATTTGAAATATTTATTTATGAAGTAAATTACTGTCTTCGAAATTAAACAGTTCACTGAACAATGAAATATTTTCAGCAGACACATTCACATCTAACAACTTCTACATATAAGATACTCATTTTTCCAGTTTTAGTCTGAACATAGGGCTTTCAACTAGGTACAAGATACAAACTCTAATACAGATTTTCTAATTAGTTGTATGGGTCTAGACAAGCCATTTTAGAGCTCTGCCCTTACCCACATCAAACAAGAATAATAATATCCTTCTTTAAACCTAGCTTTTAGGTAAACAGACATAAGATTATGTGAAAACATTTTGCTAAAGTTGCTAAACAAATGTAAGGTAAAATATTTATCATATGAACTATTTTCTAATATTCGGCTGACATTTTTATAATTTAATCAAAATAAAAATGGGACATTTTCAGTTCTGAAAATGCAAAATTCAGCAGTTACATGAAGTGAATTAAACTAGTAAAGCCAGTCCTAATAATAAATGCATTCATCCACATTCTCATGTCCTTATATTAAGAAATAATAATTATAAAAATAGGTAAAATTTCATTAAAATATTCCTATTTATTCTAGTTTAGGAGTTCTTGCCCATGTCAATGGACTGTCTGGCATCGGCCACTGCATCGGGTACTCGAACAGTCCTATTGTCCCTTGATTTTTTCAAACAGATTTGGCAGCCCAAACGTGATCTGTATAAAAAAGGGGAAAGTATGATTTAGTATTAAGTATATAATATCTATAGAACAGTAAGGAATATTAACTATATATTATTCACAAGGCAAGTTGTTTAGCAAATTTTATTTTGCTAATTTTATTTTACCTAAAGCAATTAGGGAATTTATTGACTTCATAAATTTTCATTATATCGAAAGAGATGTAAGCAACCCGATCAACCAGAGGTAAACATACAAAATGAAACACATCTGGCTTGGCAAAAGCCCCATTGTAGCCTTTAGTTTCTCTCATTTACTAACAGTTTCAGTAGAACTACTACTTTTTGGTGAAAGAGCTGACAAGCATAAAACAATCAGAAGACACAGTGGTAGAGAAGAAACTGAGGTTATTAATCCAAGGCCAAGGAAATGATCAGTCAATTCTCAGATAATTAAAGCTACACAGACTATTTAAAAAACTATACCTGTAAAAGTCTTTAAAAGATAAGAAATTCAGAATACATAGACTTAAATCACTAATTATATCAGCCTATTTTTTTCCCACATTTTTAACATCTCTGAAACCAAGACTCACTGTCAAATCAAACAGTATCTTACAATCACTGCTATTCTGTGAATACTCGTGTCATAGTTGCAAATTTGGTAACAATATTCACATAGGTGTCTCTCAACTAAATTATGGGGAGTATGTTAATACCACATGTACTAGTATATCAAGTCCAAAAGACTAAGAAACAAAAAATTAAGTAGGCAGAAATATAACAGAGTATATATTTGAGATTAGTGAAATAAATATGTCACTGGAAGCACTGTAATTCCACTGCCTTTCTTTTTTTAACAGAAGTACTACCTATATTTCTTTTCTTTTTTTCTGCTATAGAGGACATGCACCCACCAGAGGCAGAGAGAGAGAGAAAGTGAGAAATCATTCCCTGGGAAGGATGGCCATGCCGAATCCCTTCTCCTCCATTCTCCTCTCAGGAGTTTGGGGACACACACACATAGGCTCTGCATGTTTTAAAGCTGTTAAGTCCAGGCCTCAAACCACACAGTTGGCCATGTGGGGTTCAGCTGTCTTAACCACATCACCAGCTGGTCTCTGTATTTTCTTTTTTCAACAATGATACATAATACAAACCTACGTCTAGATAAGTCTAACTACTTTCAATATGCACGAAAATATGTTAAGTGATAACGCTGTGCCATAGTTCAATTAGCAGTGCTTTTCCTTTCTTAGAAGCACATAAAAATAAATGTTAATCCTAATCAAATGGTCTCTGATTGAATGAAATGTGATATGCAGGTCTTGTTTTTTCTAATGTATTTCTCGAATATTTACTGAGCACCTAAAGGCACAGAACTAAATATCAGTCAGTATACAAGAAGAGGAATTCCTTTCAATGCTTTCTCATTAAAAAGCTCCTATGTGCTGAGTACTGGGAATGCAACAGAGAGAAAGCATGGGGATTAGGGTCAAAGAGACCAGAGGTCTAGAAGTCAGCCCTAATATAGTGTGCTCATAGGCAACTTTTTTTTTCTTTCTTTTTCCTTTTTTGTTTAGTTTTTGCCATGGGGACTGTGCACTCACAGGGGGATGGGGGGTGAGAAATCACCTCCCCACCTCCAAGGGAAGATGGCTAGGCTGCAATCCTCCATTCTCTTGGGATTTGGGGCCCGCACAGAGCTTTTATACCCTAACCTAATCCTCAAGGTGATGATAAGAAAGCGCCTCTCAAGCCTGCTGTGAAGACTAGTTAATAACGTCAACATTACTGGAGTAAACCTTCAATCTAACAGGAGAGATGAGACACATTCGCAGACAATTAGCATGTAGGAATATGACAAATGCAATGGATTGTCTGCCATCGGCCACGGCATCGGGTACTCGAACAGTCATATTGTCCATTGATTTTGTCAAACAGATTTGGCAGCCCAAACGTGATCTGTATAAAAAAGGGGAAAGTATGATTTAGTATTAAGTATATAATATCTATAGAACAGTAAGGAATATTAACTATATATTATTCACAAGGCAAGTTGTTTAGCAAATTTTATTTTGCTAATTTTATTTTACCTAAAGCAATTAGGGAATTTATTGACTTCATAAATTTTCATTATATCGAAAGAGATGTAAGCAACCCGATCAACCAGAGGTAAACATACAAAATGAAACACATCTGGCTTGGCAAAAGCCCCATTGTAGCCTTTAGTTTCTCTCATTTACTAACAGTTTCAGTAGAACTACTACTTTTTGGTGAAAGAGCTGACAAGCATAAAACAATCAGAAGACACAGTGGTAGAGAAGAAACTGAGGTTATTAATCCAAGGCCAAGGAAATGATCAGTCAATTCTCAGATAATTAAAGCTACACAGACTATTTAAAAAACTATACCTGTAAAAGTCTTTAAAAGATAAGAAATTCAGAATACATAGACTTAAATCACTAATTATATCAGCCTATTTTTTTCCCACATTTTTAACATCTCTGAAACCAAGACTCACTGTCAAATCAAACAGTATCTTACAATCACTGCTATTCTGTGAATACTCGTGTCATAGTTGCAAATTTGGTAACAATATTCACATAGGTGTCTCTCAACTAAATTATGGGGAGTATGTTAATACCACATGTACTAGTATATCAAGTCCAAAAGACTAAGAAACAAAAAATTAAGTAGGCAGAAATATAACAGAGTATATATTTGAGATTAGTGAAATAAATATGTCACTGGAAGCACTGTAATTCCACTGCCTTTCTTTTTTTAACAGAAGTACTACCTATATTTCTTTTCTTTTTTTCTGCTATAGAGGACATGCACCCACCAGAGGCAGAGAGAGAGAGAAAGTGAGAAATCATTCCCTGGGAAGGATGGCCATGCCGAATCCCTTCTCCTCCATTCTCCTCTCAGGAGTTTGGGGACACACACACATAGGCTCTGCATGTTTTAAAGCTGTTAAGTCCAGGCCTCAAACCACACAGTTGGCCATGTGGGGTTCAGCTGTCTTAACCACATCACCAGCTGGTCTCTGTATTTTCTTTTTTCAACAATGATACATAATACAAACCTACGTCTAGATAAGTCTAACTACTTTCAATATGCACGAAAATATGTTAAGTGATAACGCTGTGCCATAGTTCAATTAGCAGTGCTTTTCCTTTCTTAGAAGCACATAAAAATAAATGTTAATCCTAATCAAATGGTCTCTGATTGAATGAAATGTGATATGCAGGTCTTGTTTTTGCTAATGTATTTCTCGAATATTTACTGAGCACCTAAAGGCACAGAACTAAATATCAGTCAGTATACAAGAAGAGGAATTCCTTTCAATGCTTTCTCATTAAAAAGCTCCTATGTGCTGAGTACTGGGAATGCAACAGAGAGAAAGCATGGGGATTAGGGTCAAAGAGACCAGAGGTCTAGAAGTCAGCCCTAATATAGTGTGCTCATAGGCAACTTTTTTTTTCTTTCTTTTTCCTTTTTTGTTTAGTTTTTGCCATGGGGACTGTGCACTCACAGGGGGATGGGGGGTGAGAAATCACCTCCCCACCTCCAAGGGAAGATGGCTAGGCTGCAATCCTCCATTCTCTTGGGATTTGGGGCCCGCACAGAGCTTTTATACCCTAACCTAATCCTCAAGGTGATGATAAGAAAGCGCCTCTCAAGCCTGCTGTGAAGACTAGTTAATAACGTCAACATTACTGGAGTAAACCTTCAATCTAACAGGAGAGATGAGACACATTCGCAGACAATTAGCATGTAGGAATATGACAAATGTCCCAGAGAGAGAAAGTTAAACGACTAAGAAGTTTGAGGAGAAAAGCACTTTCTTCTGGGCAGGGAAGATGGTGTTGAGAATGAGTGTGAAGGATGGGTAGGGTTTAATAGTGACAATGAAAGGAGAAAAGCATGTGTGGTAAAGGTAACAGAATGCAGGGAAGTTCAGGGCACATTTGAGGCAAGGTGAGTGCTTCAGCTGGGCTGCGGCACAGCACAAAGAATGACGGGCTGAGAAATGCCAAGACCACAGACAACCTCGAATATCACTGTTGAGTACTGAGGAACCACTGGGAAGTTTTGGAGGAAGGGAATAAAGTTAACCATGGGAAATAATGAACGCTGATTTAAAAAAAAATTTTTTTTAATTCCTCTTCTACCAATAGGTCTTACTTGTAGAATCAGAAAGAGCCCTGACCATACTCAATTAAGCAGTACATTCTGTCTGCAAAGAGAGAAAAATATGGCAAGCCTATTTGGACAGACTCATTGGGACTGTGGCAAGCCCTAGAGACACTACTGGTTAATCTGTGATCATACAAAGATAAGTAAGATAATGCTACTCATCCCTTATTTTAGTAAGGGTAACAGAGATGGAACAGTTCAGTGAAACAGGGCTGGATACAGTACAGTCAGTAATAAGAGAACAAGAAGCATGTCATGAAAGCACACAGAAGGGCAGCACCCAAAGCTCTCGCTTAGTCTAGAAGAGTGGTGCTCTGATCTCCTTAAAGGTCTCTCTGGTTCTAAGACCCTAAGATCTATCCAGTAGACAGTGTCTTATACCTGTAGAGAAAAGAAGGGAAATGGCATGGATTCCTTGATTTCATACTATCAGTCCCATGAAATCTGACACCTATGCAAACTTAGAGCTATTTCTCCAGTCACTCTCACCACATATCCCTGATGGTGAAAATGTACTAGTTGTTAGGTTTACTCTACTTCTCAGATTTGGTTTTCAATTTCAATTCAGAAAAGCAGCTTAAAAGCAGCTTTGGGGCCCAACATAACTGGATCCAAAGCCTTGGGCAAGTCTGTGTTAACTAACCCTAGTTTTCCCACCTACAAAATAGTGATTCAGAGTACTTGCATAACTCTGAACTTAAAATAATATTCATTAAATGCACAGGTAATATAATTAAGTTCCCAACACATACAGTGATGGGATTATAGTTCTGATGTTAATAATATCGTCATGAATGCTTTCTCCACCAGGCAGTGTTCTATGAGCTACACATAGCTTTAATCATTAGCTCCATAACATAGTAACCTTGTGAGGTCGTTATTATTATCCTCAACTTACAGATTAGGAATCTGCGCTTCTGTGTTGGATATGCATGGAAACTGGTAGCAAAGAGCAATGACAATCATCAAATGCAGATTCACAATTCCTGACTCTCCCTTTCCATCAACTATTATTTCCACAAATGATGACACCCCCCCCCCACCACCACCACCATACACTAGGCACTGAGATACAATGCAGTGATGGGATTATAGTTCTGATGTTAATAATATCGTCATGAATGCTTTCTCCACCAGGCAGTGTTCTATGAGCTACACATAGCTTTAATCATTAGCTCCATAACATAGTAACCTTGTGAGGTCGTTATTATTATCCTCAACTTACAGATTAGGAATCTGCGCTTCTGTGTTGGATATGCATGGAAACTGGTAGCAAAGAGCAATGACAATCATCAAATGCAGATTCACAATTCCTGACTCTCCCTTTCCATCAACTATTATTTCCACAAATGATGACCCCCCCCCCCCACCACCACCACCATACACTAGGCACTGAGATACAATGATGAAGAAAGACATGGCCCTTGTTCTAATGAGAAAAAGGAGACAGGTAGCCAGTATGAAAGGGGCCGTGTATCTTCAGTTCAATGATCAAAGTTAACTATGAGGGATCTTCCAAATGTTCATGATGGAAAATGCATATTATGAAAAAGTTCACACATACATTTAAAAATATTTTGTACCAAAATAAACTCATATTTTGAAGTTATCTTGTTTGTATAATAACAAACATCACAACATTGTCTTACGTTAGAAATTAAAGACATTTAGACAGATTTAATTTGAAAGCATATGAACTAAGAGGCTCAATACCTCTATTTCTTTGTTTTAAAACCCTACAGTACCCAAGAAATAAGAATTTATTTGTGTTTACTAGCTTTAAACAAAATTCTTTCTATTGCAAATATGTGGGGGAAAAGAGTGTTCTGTAAATGCTACCTGTAAATACATTATATTATTTTTCCACAAAATGTCTCTACTAAAATTCTGGGTACTTAATAACACTAGCTATAAAAATGTTATACAAGCTATTCCTCTCCATTATCTAGTTCTAAAACTTGGGGACTTTATTATCAGTGTTCTTCGCTAGTTTACATTTATTATAGGCCATTTTTATGGTCTGCATCTCTTCTAACTGTAGCTACTCCTTTTTCTTTACTTTCTAGTCTTTTCACTTAGAATATTATCTGTTACCTGGACCTACAAATTTTATCTGAGTAATAGGGCAAGCAGTGAGCTATAATTTAATCCTCTTTATAAGAGAGACAATTCTTAGAATCAAACTAACAGAGTCATTGAATGTATGCTTGGTGCTATTATTAAGGAGAAAAGAGGTGTTGACACAGAATGTGGCACTGAAGATGTGAGGGGGGAACAGGCAGAGAGCTGCCACAATCCTCTGCTTTTGTATCTAAAAAGACGGTTATTTTCTTACTTTCTCTCTCCAAGCTAACAGTCTCAGTCAACCAGGAAGAAACTAAACTACAAAAGAAACAAAATGATCCATCTCTAAATAAACACAAATGACCTAAAAAATTTTTCGAGAATTAAATGAGAGCCAGTGTCTAACAAAATTGTAGTTACATGTACACATGAAATTAATAAAACTATTATTACTGTTACTTTTAATTTGTTTAAAGTATTTTTCATTAGTGTTACCAAATTACAGTTAACCAAAGCCAGTCTTAATGAAGCAGTAAGCATTTATTATCTTACCATTGAAACAGTAAATCAACTAGTTACCTTCCTTGACTCCAAGCAAAAGACTGGATAATTAAAAAAATAAGGTATCACTTGATGTCACTTACTACTGTAAATCTTACCACTTAAGAGTAACCCTGTCTATTAATTAATAACAATAAGCTCTGATAAATTTACTTTACTGTACACTTAGAAAAAGAGCTATCCATTGTAACACAATGCTATTATGTATTAAGCTTCTTTACAAATTCTGTTCTCTCAAATAGGTAAAACTCCCCACTGTAATTTTGTTAATTACCAAATCTGTACTTCAAGAATAGTATAAAAAGCCTAAAATTTAATCCCACCCCATTAAATTTGGTAAGTATTAATTCGTAGAGTAAAAATAGACTAAAGAAGATTTACTTTGGTAAAAAGGGAAGTTTCATAATGGCTGAACTGTAGAACAAAGAAAATCAAGAGAAAAGCCACATATTTGATATACAAAATTCATGACTATTAACTAAGTAAGCCGAGAACACACTACTACATTCATGGGTCTGGTCTTCAAAAGACACAAAGTAATAAAAGCTCTTCCCTCCTAGAACTAAAGCAGTCCTAATACCTTACCTGTCTGTTAGCCCAAACGCCAGATCAAGCATGTCATTCTCATCATCAGTGATTGGTTCTAACTTCTCGAATATGTGCTTTTCAAAGATGAGGTGACAAGTGGAGCAAGCCAAGGTCCCCTCACACGCACCTATAGAAGCAACAAACATGGAACACGTTCTTGCACATGGAACACAATTCAAACCTGGTTCATTAAAGTGAAATGTCCCCAAATTTTAGAATCTGTACTAGAAAACATAATAGGGGCTGGCAGGTAGCATGGTGGTTGGGGCGCTGGACTCCCACATGGCTGACCATCGTTCAAGTCCCAGACCTGGTGGCTTGCTTCCTCACTTTCTCTCTCTGATCAAATTAAAAAATGATAATAAATAAAATTGGATGAGTAATTCATTTAAAAAAAAAAAGAAGTCAGAAACCATAAATGAGGAATCCCCAGGTGGTGTAGTAGTTAAGGTGCTGGACTCCCTCGTGGCCAACCATGGTTCGGGTTCAAGTCCTGGATCCAGGGGCTTGAAAATCATACCGGATACATGTGTGCCCAAAATCTCAGGAGGAGAATGGAGGAGAAGGGACTGTTGGCATGGCCATCCCCCTTGGTGGGTGATTTCTTACTGTCTGTCTGTCTCTGGCAAGGATACATGCCCTAAGGCAAAAAAAAGTAAATAAATAAAGGACTTTATTTCTGAATAATTATGAAAATCAGGGGCAAACCTCCTCACTCTCCTTACCTCCTAGATACACACAGTTTGAAAGCACTGTATATTTTACAAAAGTTCTAGGCGAGATACTATGCCGGAAAATACGAAAATAAACAGTCCTAATATCAAAGAATTTCCTATTTCATAAGCTGAGAGATGTGTGTGTGTGTGTGTGTGTGTGTGTGTGTATAAAACTGTCTACATCTGAAAACTTATGAAGAAATGTACATAACAGCTGAACAAGTTACTTACCTTTTCCTAGAGAGCTTGACACAATCAACAGACACTTAAGGTATTTAAGAACTAGAAAGCAACCAAACCTACTGCTAAATAAAGTTAAAAATTCTTCCCTCTCAATCTCTCCTATATTATAATCAGGACAGAACCAAGTAAGTCATTTTAAGTCACCTTGGTTGTAAAAATTTAAGTCACCTTGTTTGTAAAAAATGAGGTAGGAACACTTCTCCTGTTCTACTTTCAAGTCATTAATTCATGTACTGAGTCCCTATTTTGTACCAGGCACTGTAAAAGAGAACTAGAACTAAAGGCATCTTGTCCAACCAATTAAACAAAATATAAAACTGGGAGATGGGCTCTTACAGTTCATAAATCTATAACCCTCATATAATTTTGTTTTAAAATATACTTAGGTAGAATATTTTAAAATGTGAAGTAAAATTTTTACAATCCTATGTCCATCCACCTTTTAAACAATCAAAAGCATTTCCTGCCTTAGCATGCACTACAGCCACACCGGTAATAGCCGCTGGTGCCAGCATTTTATCCATTACCCTTGCTTGGGTATACAGCAATCTTCATGAACCTTGAAGTACACACAATGCTGCTTTTACTTTATCATCATCTGGCTAACGATTCAGAGTTCTTTTCTCTAAATTAATAGTAATATGTATCATAAATACGTATCATGATTTGGCTTTCTTCATAGCATTTTATCACATCTAACTTCTATTCCAATATAACTTCTCAGATGTATTTTTTTTTTAATTTTTATTTTCTACCTTAATTCACTATACACCATCACAACCCACCAATAAATTTTCCATCCAAAATACACTGTGTACTGGTTCAATCAAGCACATCAACATACACGTTCTCAGCAAGTAATTTTCCAATTCTTACATCCTGCATACCTTGCCCTTTGTCTTGCCATCCCTGATTCCCCATCCCCCACCCTCTGCCATGTCCCATCTTCCTCCTCCTTTGTCCCTGGCATCCATGATTGCCCTCCATGCCTTCTGCCCCCTCCCATTCAATTGTTCTGCCAATGAACTCAATTAGTCTAAATATATCCAATAGCTAGCACAGCTGACACTTACCTATACATGTACCCAAATCTGACCCTAGGCATAAACCCCAGTGAGTAGAATGAACATACTATAAAGTAGTACCCAGCT